GCACATTACCTACGCGAATAAGACTAATTCGCCATGTAGCGTAACTTGCGTAAGCGTAAACTGCGTCATCCAACCAAATCGCTCAGTTACTCCACACAAATCCGTCTAGACTCTTATTAGACGATTTGATTGGTTGACGCAGCTTATGCTTACGCAAGTTACGCTGCATGAGGAACCACCCTAATGGTACAGCTAAAACAGGTGAGATTCAATCGGACACATTGCCGATTGGTCGATTAAATAAAAAAATTTTTGATAGGTGGCTCACTAAAAAATTTCTAGTCATCGGCTGATGTAAGTGGTGTGTCCGATTGAAAATGTGCGCATCTGAGACGCTCCCGCTGAAACGTGTCCATGACCAGGCTTCTCTCAGGCTGGTGTCCCATGACGCGGAAATCTACAGCGGAATGGAATACGCAAACCAATCACAGCGAAAGAACCAAAAGAAAACTCGTTCATTCGATTCGTTTTTTTGCTCTGATTGGTTCGCGCGTTCCGTTCCGCTGTCGATTTCCGCGCCATGGGATACCAGCCTCAGATTTCTCTCTGGTTTTAGTTTCATGCGCTTTCTAAACTGCTTTAAGATTATAAGGGTACGTCCCCATGAGGAAGAAAATAACAGAACGGAATAGTAACGGAAAATGGAAATATAGTGGAGGCTAACCAATCAGAATGATTCCGTTCCGTTCTTTCATGACTGGGTTCTCTATGACAAACATTTAACGGAACAGATTTATTACGGAATACGTGAATTTAACCTGTTATCGAATATATCGTTGGACGGCCCGACGTAAAGCCATTTTGACCGTCTTCACCTGAGAAGACATAAAAAAAAGCAATTTTTGCACGATATGATATATAATATTATTATATATATGATAAATATTATGATATTAAAATATTTTATTTAAATTAAGACTCGGTTGCGCCAACGTGATTTTGGCTTTAATCGACGTAAAACTTTAAATTTATTGTATCAAAGCTTAAAGTATTTTAATTTGTTTATCTTATTAAGATTAGTATAAAGCATTTTAGGTTACGTTTTTGCTTCGATACATAAATTTAAAGTTTTATGTCTCGATTAAAGCCAAAATTTCATTGGCGCAATCGAGTCTTAATTTAGATAAAATATTTTAATATCATAATATTTAATATTATATAACATATCGTGCGAAAATTGCTTTTTTGGATGTCTTCTCGGATAAAGAGAACGGTTAAAGTGGCTTTACGTCGGGCCGTCCAACGATGTATCCGATAACAGGTTGAATTCACGTATTCCGTAATAAATCCGTTCCGTTAAATGTTTGCCATGGGAAATCCGACCATGAAAAAACGGAACAGAATCATTCTGATTGGTTAGCCTTCCATCATGTTTCCTTTCCGTTACTATTTCGTTCCGCTATTTCTTTGTCCATAGGAACGCACTCTAAAGCGGAACGCAATTGCAGTTTCTGAAGCTCTAACTGAAATAACGGCTGGCATATTTAATATTTAAAAAATATATAATTTCATTATATATAATATATAAAATAATATATATTAAATAATATATATTAAATAATATATATTAATATATATTAAATATAATATATATATATATAAAAATAATTAATAATAATAAAAAATAAATAAATAATAAATAATAAATAAATTAATAATAATATTAATAATAATAAATAATTTTATATTATATAATATAATAATTTCATTATATTATATTATTTCATATTATATGTTTTATTTTCTTCAGCATCAATCAAGGTTATTTCAGTCTCCATAGAAGCAGCCATCTTTGTACTCTGACTGCTTTATCTCGCTAGTTGCAGTAGCCGCAATAGGAAGTACGTTAAAATTAATGACGTCATAGAATTCAAGGCAATACTTTCGTAGTGCACTGCTTTTTATATCGGAACGTTATTCGTAGTACTGATAGTACTCGAAGTGAATAAAGGAACGCACCCTAGGGTTGTGTAACGTCCGCCGAAAAATTTTAAATTGACGGACGTTCATCTAAAGAGAAATAATGCAATCAAGCGGATTTACGCGCGAATTTAAATATAAAATATATTTTAGATTTACAGATGCATATTCTTATGACTTTTATTACCTTATTAGTTATGAATTTCATTAATCTCATATTTACTTTTATATTTTGTTACTTTTACATTATCCTATAATTATATTATTTTATACATTTATCTTATATTTTATATTTGATGTCTATTTTATTCATTAATTTTTGTTAAGCCAAATAAGTTAAGTAAGTGTTAAGTTAAATAAATAAGCGAGAATTCACTTTTTGTTTTGCAACAAAAGATATGATATCTTATTTTATTTTTTTTCTTTTGGGGGTAGGATTTTACAACATATTTTTCCCACATTATTTCTCTTTCTCGTTCTAGATTCTGCAGTTATAGATGAGACAACGAAACGTTTCAGTAATCTTAGTTTATTGAAGGGGAGGATTATCGCTCTCGAGGAATTTCTAATGTAAATCCCAATCCAACAAAGGACTAGCTCGGAAGGTCTTCCGTTGGGCTTCTAAAATTCGAAAAGAAAATTAAAATAAATTCTCGTTTTATAAAATAGGGTCCCCCACGCGACATACTGCGAATCATCCTATTTTCATAAGGCTATTTGTATTGTGATTATCTGTAATGTAGACTGAGATCACGCTAGAATATCATTGACAATATCATTTGGTTTTCTTTCGTGCGCGTATATTCTCAGATTATACTCAGAGGTAATGATATGGAAATGATACGTACGCCTTTCTATCGCGCGCGTATATTCTATACGTAACATTTATCACGATATATTATCGTCATAAATATTTCATCATTTAATTGTTATTTTTAAGTCCATTTTTAATAAATAAATAATGAAATAACATTATTAATTATTATCTTTCTTTAATTAACTAATTAATTATAATATATTGTAAGAATTAGACCGTAAGCAGTCATGAAAGACGACGGCTCCTCTCTGTTAGCTGTTTATATTCCGAATCATGATTCGGAATATAAACAGCTAACAGAGAGGAGCCGTCGTGATCATGCAGACTAAGTGTCAGATTAGTAAAGGAGGGATCCCGAGTTCAAATCCAGTCGATCTCCGTTTATTTTTCCGAATCTAATAAATATCTTTCAATATAAATAAGAAAAATATTTCGCATATTTAATACAATTACTAACAGATTTATAAGCTAGTAAACAAAATATATATAATAATTTATAAACTTAAAATAACATTTTCACAAGGAAAATGATTCTCATTAAACATAATATATTCACGGCTTTATATATGCAATAAATTATCTACAAGAATTACATACGCAATCGAGATTTTAAAATTGAGACCGTTTATACGACAATATAGTAACATTCATTAAGGTGATGCTGGAGATCGGACCGACTGAGTCGATCATTTTTAGATAAGATAATTTTTTCATTGATCATACAGAATTAAAAATCCTTTTCCAGAATTGAAGTATAGACAATAACTCGGGTCTGCATATTTCATATGAAAGAAGAAAAAAGTTAGAAAATTACAATTTTGTTATCGACTTTTGAGGTTAACTTGTGACAACATTTTGCTGTGCACAAAAGTTTAAATTTTTTACATATAAACAACACATATTCACCCGGGTCAGAATTACAAAGAAGAATAATACTATGCTTTTAAAAATGCGTTTAGGAGCTGTATATAAGAGAATACATTGTCTGAAAATTTCATAGATATGTATACGTGCTTGTATGATGAGTGTATGTATGTATACATAAATATATCTATGTATGTTAGATGTGCATATGTGTGAACATTTTCGTCGGAGTTCGCCCGTCAGTCCAGCATCGCTTTAACCATATCTATTATATTTTATGTCAAAATTCTATATTCACTTATATCATCATTTCAGTAGTAGGTTTCATCTCAACATAAAAGTAAAGCAGCATCGAGCCAGGATGCTGCTTTCAAGTTGGATGGGTGGTCGTTTTAGAAATATGCGATGATACCAAGATAAAAGATGTTTCATCACTTTTTCTTATTTAAAAAAATTTTTTTTCACTTATTTTTTGTAAAGGGTGTCACGTATATTATAGATTTTCTAATACTAACAATCAATATCGGAACGCAACCATAATCTATTGAAAACTTCCCGTTTTCATCCTTTCCTAATATTGTCATCATTCGCTACGAATATTCGCGGTGAAATTCCATGGAAGATGTTATCCCAGGCATAGGAACGTACTTAGAACGTACTTAGTCGATCGCAGTACGTATGAGAATATTTTGAGATAATCGCAATATATGCATTGCGATCTTCTCAGAACATACTCAGAACGGACGCGTGCTGTTAGGAGTTTATAATTTGTATAACATTTATATCTCCGAAAATATTAGATCTTAGTCTTACCATCGCTTCTTTCTTTTTTCATACTTTTTTTTATTTATTTTTGCCCAAATAATCATTTTGTGAAATAAAACGCTCCGCCGAGGAAAACTATATGTTCGCCTCACCCCTTCATATCGGGCCCTATCCTGAAGGTACGGCTTCGATGCAGGACGTTAACGAACCTCCAAAACGTGTAGTCGTCGAATCATTCCAATGTCAAATCCAATGATTCAAATCACCGAATCTATTAAAGATGAAAATTATATTATATTAACTATTAAGGAAGGAAAAGGAAAGAAAAGAAAATTTGCTAGAATTTTAAACTTTTAACCATTTACTTTGAACCACTTAAGATAATCATTTCTATTATTATTATTATTTAGATTATTATTATTATTATTATTTGATTGGTTGATTTCTTTATAAATTAAATTCATATCACGTTAAATTTATATCTTTTTGTGTAGCTCTTTATAGTAACACTTAAATACTATATTATATTTTTAATTTACATTATATTATTATTATTATTATTATTACTATTTGACATCTCCTTTTTATATTAATTGATTGAATATATTATTAATATTAAACTTACGTCAAATTATATACAGTCCTAATACTTTTATCCACTTATATAATAATATATATAATAATTTTTGTCGTATACCTTTGAAGCTCTTATACTATGTTTTCTAGCCATCATCTCCAT